ATGGTTAGATAGCATCACTGAAGCAATGAGCATGAAACTGAGCAAAGTCAGGGAGGCAGTGGACAGGAAGGCCTGGTGCAATATGGTTCATAGGGTCATGAAGAGTCGGTCACGACTTAACGACTGAACAACATATTAAGACTTGCCTCTTACTTGGGTTCACAGTTCCTGCATGCTGCATATTTTACTCTGTGGAGGAAGAAAAGATGTGTGGCTTCTCCTCATTAGAGTGATTCTGATCTTCTAAAAGGTGTTTTTTGCAGTGTCATTTCTCAAATTTCTTTGCTGACAAAAACTCATCCCTGATGATAATCTAGAACAAGGCTATAAATCTAGAGGTTGATACATAAATAATAAATAACATTAGAGAGTGCCCATTTGGGTAAAATACATAAGATTTTATCCAACTGTAGGAGGGAACCCCCAAACTGACAAAATTAACATTCAGGTGAATAGGATCATTAGGCTGGAAGAGAAAATGGATAAAATACATTTTCTGGGAGAGATTATGCATTGCCTATTAGGAATGCTGAAAAGAAAAAATAAACAGAAAAATAACATAGTAATTTATTGTTACATGGATCAGTATGAAGTTTAAAAATAGGGAGAAAGATGAACAACTTAGTGTGAGAGAAGGAGGCAAAATTCCATTTTAAAATGTGCATTTTGACCTGTTTTGAGGACTTACAGAAAAGGAGAAAAGAGATGAGGTTTCAAGAATTAAATTCCAGGGTAATTTTAGAAAGAAAAAATAGTCAACTAATCAATAATCATTCTTCTTCCTTCTTTTCGTGAAGTCCCATTATGGACTGGGTGTGTACATGGGGAGCTGCTGAACGTTGCTTCTAGTGATTCAGTGGGTTTCTACTGCTATAGCAGGAAAGAGCAACTAATGGAATCCTAAAAGTTGATGTCTTGGGAACAGAGTAAAAGTAGTAATCCACTATATAAGATCATTACATCAAACAGTTAAAACAAAAATGGCCATCCTCGTGTTTTATCAGTATGATATACTTGTAATGTATACAATCTCTTGAGGGAAGAAAATGAACGGACAAAAGAGAATTGAAGTTTTTTTTCTCTTATACAGCTGTACCACGTGCCCACATCTGGAACTGTATATATGTTTCTTTTATTTTTTTAAAAAAGGGAGGCATGGAAGTTTCTGAGTCGGTCTTATTTGTAAATAAAACTTTAGTATTGTGAAAAGTAGCACATAGTACAGCTTTTAGGCCTCTTGGCTAAGATCAACTGTGTGTTAGAAACAGTTCATTATATTTCAGGATTTTTAGCCCAGGATTTGTTAATTATGTATTTATAGGAGAGTGATCATCAGCAAAAGCATATCTAAGTGCATTTATCTGTATGCATCAAGTAAACAACAAAATTAAAACTATATTACAGCTAAATAGTATGTTAATGTTTATGCCCACATATATTGTTCTTAAGTCATTTTATAGTCCAGGATTCAGCAACGTTTTCTAAATGTCAAGTACCATCAGATCACTTTGTACAATGAAACAGAATCCCAAATATGTTATTAAAAAGCACTTAAAATCTTTCAAATCATAATATCTTGCAATATTTTAGTTTCAAAATCTCTTTCAAAATTTCAGAGATTTCAGATGAGAATACCCAAATTGCAATATTTGCCAATTTGCACGGCTTTCGGCATTTTTTTTAAAATGGTGTTGTTATTAAGTGTTGGAATAGGAGTGGGGAGACACAGGTTCAAGTCGACCTTCAGCCATGGAAGTTCATTGGATGATTTTGGGCCATTTGCACCTTATCATCCCAACCTACCTCACCAAGTTTTTTTTGTGCGAAAAATAGCTCTTATTATCTAACATTTATATATACATGCATACAAAATAAAAACATTAAATACCATATTGTATTTCATTTTTAATATAGATATATTATATGTTATTTCAATACAATCATATTTATATAATATATTTACATTCTTAATATTCTATTATTTAGGTACTTAGAGTGTTGAATACAGATAAGAGGAAAAAAGTGGCATACTATATTTAATTTTGTTGTCCATGAATGCCGTCATAGGTGGTGTTTTGCTCAGCCTTGCCCTAACCAAACTGTTGCTCAAGAAAAGTACTTGGAAGTAACACAAACAATTCAAGTATATATTTAACGAAATACTTATAGTTTAGTAGTAGCATACTTTTCCAGGGACTATATATTATTAAATAAGCTCAAGCAATTATAGAGTAATAGAAAAGCATTAGTCATTTAGCACTTTTGGCAATACTAGCCCTAACACTGAGCTCTTCTTTTATAAGGTAGGAAGGAAGGTAGATATTATATGCATACCCAGTTGTACAAATACATGTTTCTCTTCAACAGGAAAACATTGAAATCCCTATCCCAAGGTACTTTATCAAGGAGAAAATTAAAGTAATAAAAGAGAGAGAGAGAATCCTTGCTCAGATAATGTTGGATGCTGGAATGTATGAGGATGAACCCGTAAGTATATCTGTATAATAAATTGAAGGATACAGGTAGTCCTCGCTTAGCAACCACTCATTCAGCGACCATTCAAAGTTAAGGCGGCGCTGAACGAGGGGGACTTACAGTACAACCAGTCCTCAAAGTTGCAGCCATTGCAGTGTCCCCACAGTCATGTGATTGCTATTTGGGCACTTGGCAACTGGCTCGCACTTAACAACAGTTGCAGTGTCCCGCAGTCACGTGATCACCATTTGCAACCTTTTCTGTTGGCTTCCCATAAGTCAAGTCAATGGGGAAGTTGGCAGGGAAGGTCCCAATATGCTCCCATAAGTCTCTCCTGCTGCTTTTTCTCCCAAGGAGCCCCTGGGCGGCAGGGTGAGTACAGGCCCCAGGCAGGCGGGCACTCTCCTGGCCACACTTGCACCACAGCACCTGCTACACTGCAACATAGTCACCCCCACCTGGCCGTACCACAGCTCCCACTCCCCCGCCCACGCTTGCACCACGGTGCCCACTCCCCTGCTTACTTGCACCTTGGCGTCAACTCCTGCACACTCACATTTGCGCTGCAGCATTTGCCCGCATCTCTGCCCACCACAGCACCCACTCCCCCACCCGTGATCCTCACTTAACAACGCCAACGAAGACTGCTGGGATTGCCATTGTTAAGTGAGGACGACATTGTGCCATCACACTTTACAACTGCATCGCTTACCAGTGGAACTTCTGGTCCCAATTATCATTGTTAAGCGAGTAATCTGAATGTGATCATGACTTAATTAAAAAGAATACTGTTGTGATGTTGATCATAATTATGGGACTAAGCAGAAACTCTTTCTTCAATGAATAATTGTAAGACCCTTAAGCCATATGTACATACATATTCATATCCATATACTAAATATTGTCTTTTGTTCTTTATCCTCCTCACTTTTCTCTTTTAGGGGAGCTCGTCAGCTCCACCCAACCATAAGTTGTTTGGTCTTCCTGTGGACCCATTCATTCTTCTCTCATGTTTGTTTTCTGGTTCAATCCTCATTATTTCTATGTGACCAAATCACTCCAGCATACTTTGTTCATACCAGTCACTCACTCCTATATTTTGTATATCCTTGTTCATTCAGGACTCATACATTCTTGATCTTATCTCTTCTTGTTTTACTACATGCACTCCAAGTAACATGTTCTCACTGCATACAACTTTTATGTTTGTCTTGACATAGCTATCTTTCATCCCATCTAAAAAGTGGTCAGAAGCACATGTTTATACAGTTATTTTTGTTTCTTTGAAAATAATAAATTCCTCACATCAGACCACATGCAGCCCACTATCTTTCTATCAGCATTTGCACATTTTTAATATTTTTCATCCCATATTTAGTAAACATTCTCCCAAGGTGCACAAATGCTTTAGTTATTGTGGAGTCCTTGG